TTTTTTTTTTCGCGATTTCAACACGCAAATATGAGAAAAGAGCAACAAATTTCGCGATTTAAACATTCTCAAGTTCATTTTATTTTTAAAAAGTCTGAATGTCTTCAAATTTCTAGTTTAACTGGAAAGGTAATGTGTGAAAGCTTCACAAAATATCGTCTTTTCACTTACTGAGGATACAAAACCGAGCTTTGAAGTATAACCAGTTAACAAGTTGTGTTGTGATTATCCTGTATTTGTTGTTGCTATTTCAAGTTAACATTTTTTCTGTGATTTGAAGTTTTTATATGCAGGGGCGGATCCAGGATTTTTCTTAGGAGGGGGTGTACTCGTCTCTTGCTCTACTTCAACACCAATAAACCACATAGTGTTTTTTTTTTTGCCGAATATCAGTTGTATTAGAAAACCGCAGGTCATCTCAGGGGGTGGGGGGGGGGGTGCGCACCCCCTGCACCCTCCCCCTAGATCCGCCCCTGATATGTATTGAGTATTTGATTTCGCGTGCTTGAATATCGCGATTTTTTGCAATCACGAAAAACGCCAAATTAAAGACCCGCGAAATAAGGTACCAATAAGGTATGTATATATGTTTTGTAATCGTTTTTGTCCCATAAAACTTCCAGTCACTTTAAAAATTGTATAAAATAATTTTATTTTTTTGAATTACGCTTTTTTCGTAGTTTCATATTCTGTTATATAGAAATTTCATTGAAAATACCCTCTAACATTACAGAATAAATGTAAAATCCATTTATTTAGCTAGCGTCTTCTGCCATCGTCACCAGGGCAAATTTAATGACAGTCTCCCACTTTCTTACCGAAAATGCGGCACCGAAAGAGAGTGAGTGTTCAACCATTAGGCAAAACATGAAACATTAATGCACTGCTTTTAGGTTGGTTTATGGTAACATAAGCAAAACCAAAAGATCTCATTAAGGTGATTCTCTCTTTATGTTATTGCTTTATATTTTAAAGCAAGCAAGCCTACCAAGAAGTTCTGTTGTAAGAAGTTCCACTTTTCATTTTTTTCAAAATGTTAGAAATTCTCAGTTTAGTCCGACTGGCATTTTACGTAGGGTGGCACTTGTTCTCACTGAATTACGGACCAATCTTCATTGCATGTTTCGTCGTATTAAATTGCCCATGCTTTTATAGTCCATAACGGGAACGAATTTTTAGCAGACAGACAATTTGCTAATGCTCATCTGAATTTTACGGCTCACAAAGGGTTCTGTGCATGCTTTATTTGTGATTGAGTGCTGGGCGGTCCCGACTCGTCTACCAACATTACTGGTTTTAAGAACCGTAAAAGTGCATGTCGTTTATGTTCATAAGAAAGAAAACTATTAACCAGGAACTTGTGTATTTCGCAGATCGCGTTAAAATATCAGCAGTTAACAATTTTTTTTTTTCGATTTTGAAGGAGACCATTACATTCAGGATTCAGGTATGAATTGATACTTTAAGGTTAATATGCGGACTGGACAACACCCGCAACTAAGTCAGACTGATTATACTTTTCGGTAACCTTTCAAAACGTATTAAGAAATTTAGGTATCGCCGCGTTCATAATATGAATCAAAGTTTTCAATAGTAAGTAACTTAAAAATACAGTTTGTACTCCTTTTAATCGAATTTATTTGCCAGACTATTTTAAAAGCTTCTATTCTTAGCTCATGACTGAATACAGAAACTGATTCAGAGTCCTACATCATGGAAAAATTCGACTCTTTACACAATAGCCGAAAGGGAGCCATTTTGTTGCGCACGGAAGTTAATAGCACATGACATTCAGGGTATTGTTAAGCCAATCAGAACGCGCGAAAATCACTATTCAAAATAACAAAGGAAAAAAAAATCAACAAACTTCTGAGCCACGTTCACTTTGCAAGATGTAGCGATCTCCCATTTACCTAGCGCTAGATTTTGCGTAAATTTTCGCAGAGAAAAATGTTCGAATGTATCAAAATCACACACCTTCTCAACTAATTAATATCTCCGCTCACTTTCTGTTGTTGACAAGAAGGTATTAAAAGACATCGCTCTCGTCTTCCAAGTTTTTCAAGCTTGTGCTATTCAAGAGTAAATTACGTTGTGCAGCTCTATTTTGATATATATTTTTTAGTTGATATGAATTGAACAGGTAAACCAAGTAGAAAAGAAAAGGTTACGTGACATGAGATCACTTTTCTTTAAATTGATTTACGGTTTTGACAAAAGTGTTAATATATTTTGCTGATATTCATTTCCTTCTCAAACCAAATTTCCCTGAAGCGTTTATTAGTTGTAATCAGTTCTTGAAATTGTCACATATACAAAAAAAGATGTACAGTAACAATTTCACTTAGGAGGAAAACAAATAACAAAATTGAAAACTTTAAGGACGATTTTGTCAAGAAACATAAACTACTCAGCTGAGTAAGCAGAAAATCGCGCAAATGACTCAATTGTCTTATTTTTTTTTCGGCGCCTCAAACGACTTTTTGGAGCTTGAAATAAAATAACAGTAACACAGAGATAATAAGCAATAAAAAATTCAAAACCGGAACCATGCGGTTTTAATAACATACAAACGCAGAAGTGGCAAAATTGAAATCATGATAACCACCGACAAAAATCGGGGAAAAAATGGCAGTTTACAATCCGTGATTTTACAGAAGAACAACTCACGGCTATTTCGGTACAGGTATGATAATCTTGACGATTTCTTTGTCTTTTTAAAATGACCGTTTATGTTCAATTGACGGAAATTTGTAAATATGTTGAAGATTTCGTTAGTGGATCTCTTAGACCTGTGAATCCCTTTTTCCATGGCTTTGTTGTTGTTTTTGTTGTTGTTGTTGAAGTGACACTATATTAAAGCGGACGCCTCAGGAAACTGACAGCTAGTGAAAAGTGAGAAACGAGATACAGTGAGAAATGCAGTACAGTCCACGTAATGCTCTCCTTGAGCGAGAAGGCGACCAACTATCGTTGTTATCGGAATTGTAAAACCGCGTTTAAAGTGTAATGTTAGCTTGCAATCCCTCACATAAGCAACCGCGACAATTTTTGTGAATCTCTTGTCTTTAGGTTTTTTTTAATTCTCGTGCGACCTTTGGGTCAGCACTTGAATAAATGCATTAACGTCTTGATGAAATTGTCTAAGAGCTACTTTGAATGTGATAAGTAAAACATTTTAATATTATTTTATCTGAACATATTGGTAATGAACAACATCTTTCAAGCTTTTTTGCTAAAGGATCTCAAAAAGGTCCATCTTCTGAATAGGTTTAATCACAAGGTCGCTACCAGAGTCTATAAGGCTCATAAATCACCAGCTGTACTCGCGGTCAATTTTATGGATTACCGAGATGGTCGCTAACAGGAGCTTTGACTGTATATCATAGTTTGATAAGATCAATCACCGTAACAAATATCAGTAGCAGGCTATCATTTATAATCGTGAAGGCGTCCCAGTTCTAATAACATGAATCAAATATTGCATTGTAAAAATTGAAATAGTTATGAATAAGTAAACTTCGTCTGGTTGAAAAAATAAATGAATAAAAACTGAAGGCGAAAAGGCAAAAGGGAATTCTGGCTCTCGGTAATTGCACTGCAGGTCTTGAATCTTCGACGTAAGGTAAAAAGGAAAATTATATAAATGTATTTGTGGGAGATAATTTATTTTCGCTTTTTTTCTGCTGAACCATTTAACCTCCCATGAACATATTGTGTAATAAGGCTTTTAATTTCCGAGGATAATTCATGCGAGCCCTTATCGTTCGGTGCTTATAAGATTAAAACCATGCATTTTTTTTGTAGTATTTTTCTCAAGCTTTAGCGACTTAGTGCATACATATGCGATTATGCTTAAATACCCTTTTGAAAGGTGGAGACGAAAAGAATACATATTGCTTTCATGGCTTCATAAATAAACGATCCCCGGTGTAATTACTAAAAAGTATACTGAACTCTTCACTCAAATACATCGCTTATATTGGTTATTTTTGTTAGCCCAATAGTTAAATAAATGTGGTCATTTGTGTGGGTAGAATCTAGACAGTATCCCTCGAAACGGCAGAACCAATCGAACGACATCTTGATTCAATTTTTGCCTAAAAATATTAACTATAATAATATTCATCAAGAACCTCCCTAGAAATTTCACGCCCTTCATCGCGTATTACAGTCATATTTTTATTACGCAATTTACGGTAGTCACAAAATAAAAACAGCGAATGTTTATCGTAAAATAAGTAATTTACAAACGGTTGTGTCATTAGATTTTAAAGATTCAAAAAGGATTGTTCAATAAGCAAACATTACCTGAATGGCTTCAAATATTTAATGTGCGATAGTCTTATTTAGAAGTACCCAACCCTACATTTTAGCGTTTCCCGAGATTAAATATGTTATCAATTTTTTGTATTTATTTGGTCTAATTTTGTGGTGTTTTTCCTGATTCAGATCCGATGTGGAAAGATCACTCAGCTGACGCGGAAGACAATTTTCTAATTAAGATAACCAATGGAAAACGCTGTTAAGAGAGAATACAGTAATCTCCATTTATATCGCTGGCACATATGATAATTTCGTGTTTTTGTCCCCACTGTATTCAATTTCACCACTTGAATTTTAGAACACGTGGCTGCCTTTTATCTTATTATAACCTCTTAAAATCCTGTTCAAGAAAAGATTTGATTATACTAACATACCCGAGTCTCAGCGACTCTAGAGAGGCGAGAAAAAGGTCACAAAGCAATTGACTATATAAATGAGATTGTTCTGACAAACGCACGGAGGATTACTATGTAAAAGAACCTATACTGGCTTTTGTATACACAAAGGTTTACAGTTTTGGTGACAACATCGTCAAATGCTGAACACAAGTATTTCAGCTGGGGGACTTGTCAGGAGAAATTTCAGTATCAACAACAATAAGCCGCAAAGAAACGACCGCCCTAGAGAATCCATAGGTTCCAGAAGCAACAAGCCCGCAAAGCGTGGTTCGTCAATCTCGTCGACAAGAGACAAGCGTTTAACGATTAACGTGAGTGGAATTAAGTTTCAGACTTGGCAGAGCACGCTGATGCGTTTTCCTGATTCTTTACTGGGCAGTGCAGAAGCCATGAAACAGTTCTACGACGAGCAAAGAAAGGAGTATTTCCTCGATCGCGATCCATATCTCTTTAAGTTTGTTTTGAATTATTACCGATTTGGCAAACTACACTTCTCCCAAGAAGACTGTCCCGCTGCGTTCGAAGAAGAATTACAATTTTATGGCTTTTCAATTTACGACGTAAACGATTGTTGTTGGGAATACTGTACCCACAAAGAGAAAGGCCTACTTATTGAAGGCGACAACGATGCCCTTGAGGGGGAGACAATTACCTGCAACGGAAATTTGTGCGCCGTACATTGCGAGCCAAAACTAACTTTGCGGCAGAAAATTTGGCGAACCATTGGCCCTTCAAAGACTACAAAGACCGGCGTAATATTTCACATAATATACGGGTTTTTTATTTTCGTAAGTGTGTTAATAGCGTCTCTCGAAACTTTACGATGTGGTCAAAAAACGTGTGGAGAAGTTTATCACAGTATCTTCTTCACAATAGAATCAGCTTGCGTTATTGTATTTACCGCTGAACTTTTGATTCGCTTCTACGTTTGTCCGATGAAAAAGAAATTTATGCGGGATGCTATGAACATAATTGATACACTAGCCATTCTTCCTTACTACATCACACTGATTGTTACCAGCTTTGGAGTGGAAACAAGCTATATACAAATACTCAAAGTTTTGCGCGTGATTCGGATTCTGAAGTTAACGAGGAATTCGAGAAGACTTCGTTGCCTCTTGTTAACTCTTCGACGCTGCGCAGTAGATATTGTATTTCTCTACTGTATTTGTCTCTTGGCGATTATTTTGTTTGGAACAGCGGTTTATTATGTGGATTTCATGGGAGGAGATCCACAGTTTTCAAGCATTCCGGAATCATTTTGGTATACCTGTGTCACCCTGATGACAGTTGGGTAAGGCTATTGTATCATTAGTGATACTGTTCTTATCATTCTTGCTTGTTATTTTGATATTATTTTAGTACACTTTTGAGTGGGCAAAGATTGAAATAAAAAAAATTAAAAAAAAATTAAAAAAGAAAGAAAGAAAGAAGAGAAGATATAAAAAATAATAAATTACTTCTGATCAGTAGGCTTAAGGGAAAAAGCCGTTTTGTCAGAGACAAGAGTTTGTAAGTAACGCATGAATTTAAGTAACACTATTTTTTGGACTTTTATCATCGACGTGAGAAATGTTGTTTTGGCATGATCTCATAACTTAAAAGCCTTTTACACACAGCTCTAATGGCTAATTTCACCAATTTCACCACCCTTTTAAACACGAAGCAATTATAAAATTAGTAATTTATCTAAGCTTGTGCCATATTCACCTCTGCAATAAGGATTGCTATGAAAAACATTTTTTGATAAAGAATACCGAAAGGCGAAGAACACCATGGGCCTTAAATACAATATTTTAAAACAAACGGTACCGTTGAAAACTAATGCGAGGTTTCATTTCAATGGTCGCACCGGACGATTTCCATCAAATACGGAAACCTGGAATCACCTTGTGTAGATATATGATTTAGCAACAGAACGGGAATGTCATTTGACGACGGGAAAGCGCGCGGAAAGGACTAAACTCGACTTCCGGTGCCCAATTTGCCGCTCTGCCATTGGTCAAGCCAGTTGTTTGATTTGCGAGCGCCGTCGTCAACTGACGTTCTCGCTCTGTTGCTAAATCAGGCTATTAATAAACGGCACCACAGGGAAGCGTTGTTCGGTAGCTATTGTTTGCATGGCCACACCATGGGATTTCATCCACAGCTTGCACTGTATGACTGCTTATTAGTTTTCATTTGAATCGACCATAGACTCAATAGTAAGAACTACCTGGTGCTGTATAATAAGCAAACCAAAGGAAACTACTGCTCAGTGTCATTTCACCTTAGGGATTGTGATGACACGCACTTTTGCGAATCACAGACCTACAAATTACTTAACATTCATTTCTATTAAAAATTTAATTATCATAAACATTTTAACTAAAGAAATGTCATACCGATGTCAATCAAGCCTTTTGCAATCCAAATTCAACTATTTGGGGGTTTTATGTATTTCGTCATTGCATTTCGTATATCCTCATTGCATTTTTCCTGGGAAGCTCAGTACATTAATTTACATTAGTATAATAATTTATCTTGTAAGGTGCCCTAGATGGCCTCTACCAATAAAATAGACAAAAATCGATCAACACCAAGCGGTCACTTAAGCCGAACCTTTTTCAGCCTGTACAAACGATTCATTAAAGCATGGATTGTTCTTTTTCTTTGCTAAACGTAAGTGGGTTCTAAAGATAACAGAGAAAAAATAGAGAATAATCAACATTCGGTTTTGATGTGGAAAAAGTTCCCTATTCAAAGTTTTTCTCCATTCTCTCCTCTGCAATTCCATTAAGCTGACAGAGGAAAACTATTAACATTAAAAAGCTCGGTCATCTCAGCTATCGCCGGACGACGGCGGCCTGTGTGCTTCATAGGATGAGAATGTTCGACAGTAGGTTTCTATATAAACGCATGCACTAGGGTTAAGAAAAAGCAAGCTCGAACAGATTTGTATTGAAAGCTGGAATTCTGCAAAGCAAAAATATCGTGACAGAGCTTGACAGGTTTTTCCTAACCAAACTTAATAGCACGTCCAGGGGACCAAATTCAGCACCCATAGAAAAGCCCAACGGATGGACGTTCCTTCAAGAAAATAAGGTAGCTTGCAAGGCAAAAGTGAAAGAAAAGGACGAAGGACAGGGAACATGGTGACAGCTCCGCGTAAACGAACTTTGTTATTCATAATCGAGGCACTGCGGGCATTCACTGTTAGGTGTGAACAAGAGCCTCTTGGTGTGAATGAGCCCATATCTCTTCTCTGCTTTCAGAGAAACTGGTCTATTCGCCTCGAAGACAGCCTAGGAGAAGAACGAGAGGTGACTCTTTGTTCGAGTGAAACCGCTTACTAGTGAAGCCTGTAAGGAAAACCTTGGGCTGCAAACACCAAAAGTTAATCTATATCTGTAACCAGGAAACTTGAATTCCTTGGAAAAATCCAGGTAATAGGGAATGCAGAATTGACTGGCACAATTACTTCAGCTCTGTTCCAAAGTTAAGAAAGTCTTGTTTACCAGTGATACCCGAGTCATCGATGAGAGTACAATACAATTCACTGTCCCAGTCGTGAGTAAGTCAGTTCTGCTAAAATAGAAACCATGCCAGGAGGAGCCTCGGGAGAAGTTGGCTGACAAATGATGCGTCAACATGAAACCGTTTTGCAGAGAACTTAGAATTTACGTTAATATCGGTTATATCCAAAATGCCGAACAAACCTATGTAAGATAACGTCGGTGAAAAAGGGAACACCAGAATAAGAGTCGATAGGAATGCTTCCTTATAGCTGTAAAACCTGGATCACTAACAGACAAGGAGCAAGTCTAGGAATCTTCTAGCAGAGGATCCCACACACTATCATGGTTTCAGCTGGGAAGGACAGAGTTACAAGCAGTGAAGAGTTTCGAACGTTCAAAGACCAAAAACCTAATTTGCCATTCTCAGAGAAGACGCCAAAAAGGGTTAAAAGCCATTTCTCAAAGCATCCTGTGTGCGGGGGATCATTTGGCCAGAGGTATCAAAGCAAAGGCGTCTTCCTGCAACAGGAAAGTTATCAACACGTGGGGAAGCCAATGCTGTCAACTAGCCGCAAAAATGAAGAACACAGCGAAGCATATTGAGGGCGGATTACAAGAGAAATAGAAACATGGCTACAAAAGAAAGCCTTGACATCCATCCTGTGCCTAGTTTTTCCTCTTTTTTCAACACGTATTTTGAAAAACTTTGACATTTACTCAGCCTTGACATCCACTGGCAAAAGTTACTCATTGGAAAAATCACTCAAGTATCACTTTATCATTGACAAACTGTTAACAGAAATGTTACCATGGTGAAATTTACTTGATGCCATCTCCATATATTTTTTTGTCTACACGCCAATTGCACATCTCCCACAATGTACCTTATTTTACCCCCCCCCCCCCCCAACCCGTATAACAATACCAATTAATGTAATTAAAGTATAATTAAAAACCAAACCCTGATAATAAATAATTCCTCTTCAGAACTTTAAACAACTTGATATAAGTTTCATACTTTAGAAGCAATCAGCAATTAACCAAAAGACCCCTTCAAAAAGTATCCGAGTCAATCAATTGATTGTAACTTATAAAAATAAGAGAACCACTAATTTTTCGATCCTTTCGTACTAGAAAATAGTTATATCAATGTTTCTTCAAATTGTAGATAGAAACCAAGCTGTGTTACCACGCTTTTAACTCAAATCATGTACGGCTTTAATGGACGAACAGACCAACCCTTGGGAGCGACTGCACCCCAGGATGCCGCAATTCAACATCGAGGTCGCAAACATCGTCGTCAATGAAAACTCTCAAACGTTATTGCGCTGTTATCCCCAGGGTAACTTTTATTTGTTTATCGTTAACTATTTCACCCTAAATTAACGGGTCACTTAAACCCACCTAAAAATAAGTGCCTGCTCAGGATTCCCCCTTCGCAGTCAGACATAACTAAAAATATATCTTAAGCCCGCCTTCGTTACTTTTTTAAAGGCGGTCGCCCCAACCAAACTGTCCCACTTATCCAATCCCAAAGACATAAGTTTTTGAGTTGGCTTTCTTAAAATAAAAGAGTGAGCTTTTCTAACCCCAATTAATCCAAGAGGTTAACACCACATTTTAAAACTACTTATTTGTAAGAAATAAATTAATTTAAGCCACATAAGTTTCCAGTAAAGTTCCATGGGGACTTCTTGTCTAACAATTTGGATGTAGCATCTTCACTACAAATTCAATTTCACTGGACATTTTCTTAAGACAGTGAGACCCTCGTGACACCATTCATACCGGCCAACAATTAATTGACTATTGATTACGCTACATTATCACGGTCAGTGTTACCGCGGCCATTTAATTGTCTTTATAAAGTTGGCTTTACCAACCCTTTTAGATACAACCATTGGGCAGGTCTCACCTTTCATACTTCTACCTTCATATTAGCAAAAAGCTATGTTTTTGGTAAACAGCCGAGGCCTTGTGTTTAAACCCTCTAATGAGAGCTAAAAATTTGCCGAGTTCCTTAAAAAAACTTTTCCCCTCACTATCTCCCACTTGTGTTAGTTTGCAACAGTAATATTTATTTATAATTATTTCCTGGCACTTTATGCGTTTATTATTATCACCCATCGGTAACCTCCTTAGAGGCTGTTTCACCCAAACCCTTAGGCTTGGTAACCAGGGGAGATGAAGCAACAATTTTTTTACTCATGTTCACATTATCTCTTCTGATTCTTGGGTTCTCACCACCATCTAACAGTCTGTTCTACTACCAAGCAAACTTCTTACTGCCCTCAGAATTTCAGTTCAATTTTTAGCCACCATAATTTTTGGGGAAAAAGAGTTCTTGAGTGAACTACTACGCATTCTTTCAAAGATGGCTGGCTCCAAGCCTACCTCTTCATTGTCTAAATCCCATACTCCTTTTACACTTAATTATTGAATCTGTAACTTTAATTTCTGATTTGGGCTCTCCCCTTTTGACAACGGACCTATTCGCCCCCTGTCTGTCTGTCCACTTCAAATTTTACCTTCAAAGTCTATCCCCCTTAAAGCAATAGGCCTTTACCCTAAAATTTTAATAGAGCGTTAAATAAAAAGAATTAAATAGTCTAACAAATTAATGTTCTTCTGTTCATTTTTTTTTCTATTTTTTTATTAACACAATGCCCTATGTGAACGCACTACTTACATAGTTTTCGTAGAAAACCAGCTATCTCCAAGTCCGATTGGGCTTTCCCCCCTATCCACAGGTCATCCGAGGTTTTTGCCACAACCACCGGTTCGTTCTTTAAAACTGCCCATGGTTAGATCACTTGGTTTCGGGTAATTTGACTAAAGAGCCTTCTCGACTTCTCTTCACCTACATTTTATCTGCAAGAAAGTTTATTTAAATTTGCCAAACGATATCTCGTAAACCCATTATACAAAAGGTACGCTGTTTTACAGCTGCTTTAAAAGACAAATTTCCAGATCTTTTCAAGTCTCTTTCAACTTTCCTTCACAGTACTCACGCTTTCAGTATAGGACTAACATTTAGTCTTAGATATGTGAACTCCTTTCTTCCACNTATTTATCTATTTATCCATGGCTTAACTATCATTTACGTGAAGTACATCATTACATATCCGATATCCAATATCAAACGCAAGAATTTAATATCTAAACCATGGATAAATAGCATTGATTTATAAATTGATAAACTGCTTTACCCGAGAGCCTAAATGTTTAGCCTTAATGATAAAACTAATAAACCTAGTAGTCCAAAGTGCTTCCATTCTTTCTTATTAGAATAGTAGATCTATAAACGCCGCGTCTCCAGTTGCTGAATTTAGTGAGTCGGAGACACTTCTCCTGTTTACATGGAATGTTTTGTAACTTGGCCAAAAACTCTGGCGTCCTGAAATGTTAGGACTGGAGATGATCTCTTTTCATTCCAACCTTTTCGTTAACACTATTGCTGGCTCAAGTTTGGAACTAACTTGAGCTTGGGGTAAGTGTTATTATCCTCTGTCCTATTTCTTCATAACCGTAACCATAGCTCTTCCATAGTGATATGTTGCCGACTTCCGGAGCCCAAAGAAAGCTATTAGTGACGTTCTTATATAGAAGAGAGATCCTTGGCCTCAAGCCTGAGGGTTAGTCCTCATCAAAATGTTTGACGCATCCCATCCAAGAAGAACTGCGTTATTTATTCCACGTGACTTCGTTTAGCCCCCTTTTTGCCCCGATGAGGACCCAGCAGGGTGATTTCCATTTTGCCAAACCAAACAGTCACATACCAGTGGAATAATCACGAGAAAACGAACAACATTGTTCGATTGAAACAAACTTTCCAATCGAATCGAAGCGATCCATTTGCATTTCGACCGAAATTTTGATTACTGCTTAGCAAAGAGGGATTTTTTTGGAAATGGAACGGCAAGTTACGGTCAGACTGGACTGACCAGTCAAAGCCAAGCACCACTCCTGGAGGTGAACCACTTTGACCGGAAAATTTCCACACTGAACGAATCGTTCCATTTATTAATTTCTCGACCAAAATTTCCGCGACATTTTTGCTTTTAGGAACCGAGATCCGGGAGTTTTTTTGCTATAGTGGAATCCTAAATCCTGGGCTTTGGAATCCGGAATTCAGCTCAAGGAATTTTGTCAGAATGGAAAGCATCCCCAGATTTTCTTTCATGCCTTCTTTCATATCTGCTGTTTCCTTATGCCGGTACATTCCACTCTTTTTACAGATGCAGCTAATTAAATCTTTTAGAAACGTTCGGCTGACTACAATGGCCTACTCGTCGTGTGCCTGCTGAAGGTGAAGTAATAAAATTACGGCGTTCGTAATACTCCTTCTTCTATTCAAAGCTAACCGGTTTTCCCTTTTTCTTGTCTTTCAATCAAATTACGAAGCAGGAATGCAACTTCACCAATAGCAGTTAAGGTCTCAAAAAGATCTTCTTGGCAGTGATGGCTTGAACGTAGAAAATTACATAATTACGATGTCACTATACCGGGTCTGATGTTGAAGAGCATGCACCTTCCAGCACACTATCTTTTTGTCCCGATAGATTTATATTCATTTTTCATTTCTGAATAGAAAAAAAATTACAACTTTGGACCGCATTCCACCGTCTTCGTTCAGCAAATGTCTGACTTTTTTGGCGTGAATTTTTCAAATCTACCAATATAGAGCCTAGTAGAAAGACAGTGGGTCCCTTTTGTGAATATCTGAATGATAAGTTTCAGGGGAATTACGACGAATTCCAGCAGTCCCGACTCGTCTACCAACATTACTGGTTTTAAGAACCGTAAAAGTGCATGTCGTTTATGTTCATAAGAAAGAAAACTATTAACCAGGAACTTGTGTATTTCGCAGATCGCGTTAAAATATCAGCAGTTTACAACTTTTTTTTTTCGATTTTGAAGGAGACCATTACATTCAGGATTCAGGTATGAACTGATACTTTAAGGTTAATATGCGGACTGGACAGCACCCGCAACTAAGTCAGACTGATTATACTTTTCGGTAACCTTTCAAAACGTATAAAGTAATTTAGGTATCGCCGCGTTTATAATATGAATCTAAGTTTTCAATAGTAAGTAACTTAAAAATACAGTTTGTACTGCTTTTAATCGAATTTATTTGCCAGACTATTTTAAAAGCATCTAACAACACTATTCTTAGCTCATGACTGAATATGCAAACTGATTCAGAGTCTTACTTCATGGAAAAATTCGACTCTTTACACAATAGCCAAAAGGAAGCCATTTTGTTGTGCACGGAAGCTAATAGCACATGATATTCAGGGTATTGTTAAGCCAATCAGAGCGCGCGAAAATCACTATTCAAAATAACAAAGGTAAAAAAAATCAACAAACTTCTGAGCCACGTTCACTTTGCAAGATGTAACGATCTCCCATTTACCTAGCGCTTGATTTTGCGTAAATTTTCGCAGAGAAAAATGTTCGAATTTATCAAAATCACACACCTTCTCAACTAATTAATATCTCCGCTCACTTTCTGTTGTTGACAAGAAGGTATTAAAAGGCATCGCTCTCGTCTTCCAAGTTTTTCAAGCTTGGGCTATTCAAGAGTAAATTACGTTGTGCAGCTCCATTTTGATATATATATTTTTTGTTGATATGAATTGAACAGGTAAACCAAGTAGAAAAGAAAAGGTTACGTGACATGAGATCACTTTTTTTTTAAATAGATTCATGGTTTTGACAAAAGTGTTAATATATTTTGCTGATATTCATTTCCTTCTCAAACCAAATTTCCCTGAAGCGTTTATTAGTTGTAATCAGTTCTTGAAATTGTCACATATACAAAAAAAGATGTACAGTAACAATTTCACTTAGGAGGAAAACAAATAACAAAATTGAAAACTTTAAGGACGATTTTGTCAAGAAACATAAACTACTCAGCTGAGTAAGCAGAAAATCGCGCAAATGACTCAATTGTCTTATTTTTTTTTCGGCGCCTCAAACGACTTTTTGGAGCTTGAAATAAAATAACAGTAACACAGAGATAATAAGCAATAAAAAATTCAAAACCGGAACCATGCGGTTTTAATAACATACAAACGCAGAAGTGGCAAAATTGAAATCATGATAACCACCGACAAAAATCGGGGAAAAAATGGCAGTTTACAATCCGTGATTTTACAGAAGAACAACTCACGGCTATTTCGGTACAGGTATGATAATCTTGACGATTTCTTTGTCTTTTTAAAATGACCGTTTATGTTCAATTGACGGAAATTTGTAAATATGTTGAAGATTTCGTTAGTGGATCTCTTAGACCTGTGAATCCCTTTTTCCATGGCTTTGTTGTTGTTTTTGTTGTTGTTGTTGAAGTGACACTATATTAAAGCGGACGCCTCAGGAAACTGACAGCTAGTGAAAAGTGAGAAACGAGATACAGTGAGAAATGCAGTACAGTCCACGTAATGCTCTCCTTGAGCGAGAAGGCGACCAACTATCGTTGTTATCGGAATTGTAAAACCGCGTTTAAAGTGTAATGTTAGCTTGCAATCCCTCACATAAGCAACCGCGACAATTTTTGTGAATCTCTTGTCTTTAGGTTTTTTTTAATTCTCGTGCGACCTTTGGGTCAGCACTTGAATAAATGCATTAACGTCTTGATGAAATTGTCTAAGAGCTACTTTGAATGTGATAAGTAAAACATTTTAATATTATTTTATCTGAACATATTGGTAATGAACAACATCTTTCAAGCTTTTTTGCTAAAGGATCTCAAAAAGGTCCATCTTCTGAATAGGTTTAATCACAAGGTCGCTACCAGAGTCTATAAGGCTCATAAATCACCAGCTGTACTCGCGGTCAATTTTATGGATTACCGAGATGGTCGCTAACAGGAGCTTTGACTGTATATCATAGTTTGATAAGATCAATCACCGTAACAAATATCAGTAGCAGGCTATCATTTATAATCGTGAAGGCGTCCCAGTTCTAATAACATGAATCAAATATTGCATTGTAAAAATTGAAATAGTTATGAATAAGTAAACTTCGTCTGGTTGAAAAAATAAATGAATAAAAACTGAAGGCGAAAAGGCAAAAGGGAATTCTGGCTCTCGGTAATTGCACTGCAGGTCTTGAATCTTCGACGTAAGGTAAAAAGGAAAATTATATAAATGTATTTGTGGGAGATAATTTATTTTCGCTTTTTTTCTGCTGAACCATTTAACCTCCCATGAACATATTGTGTAATAAGGCTTTTAATTTCCGAGGATAATTCATGCGAGCCCTTATCGTTCGGTGCTTATAAGATTAAAACCATGCATTTTTTTTGTAGTATTTTTCTCAAGCTTTAGCGACTTAGTGCATACATATGCGATTATGCTTAAATACCCTTTTGAAAGGTGGAGACGAAAAGAATACATATTGCTTTCATGGCTTCATAAATAAACGATCCCCGGTGTAATTACTAAAAAGTATACTGAACTCTTCACTCAAATACATCGCTTATATTGGTTATTTTTGTTAGCCCAATAGTTAAATAAATGTGGTCATTTGTGTGGGTAGAATCTAGACAGTATCCCTCGAAACGGCAGAACCAATCGAACGACATCTTGATTCAATTTTTGCCTAAAAATATTAACTATAATAATATTCATCAAGAACCTCCCTAGAAATTTCACGCCCTTCATCGCGTATTACAGTCATATTTTTATTACGCAATTTACGGTAGTCACAAAATAAAAACAGCGAATGTTTATCGTAAAATAAGTAATTTACAAACGGTTGTGTCATTAGATTTTAAAGATTCAAAAAGGATTGTTCAATAAGCAAACATTACCTGAATGGCTTCAAATATTTAATGTGCGATAGTCTTATTTAGAAGTACCCAACCCTACATTTTAGCGTTTCCCGAGATTAAATATGTTATCAATTTTTTGTATTTATTTGGTCTAATTTTGTGGTGTTTTTCCTGATTCAGATCCGATGTGGAAAGATCACTCAGCTGACGCGGAAGACAATTTTCTAATTAAGATAACCAATGGAAAACGCTGTTAAGAGAGAATACAGTAATCTCCATTTATATCGCTGGCACATATGATAATTTCGTGTTTTTGTCCCCACTGTATTCAATTTCACCACTTCAATTTTAGAACACGTGGCTGCCTTTTATCTTATTATAACCTCTTAAAATCCTGTTCAAGAAAAGATTTGATTATACTAACATACCAGAGTTTTAGCGACTCTAGAGAGGCGAGAAAAAGGTCACAAAGCAATTGACCATACAAATGAGATTATTCTGACAAACGGACGGAAAATTACTCTGTAAAAGAACCTATACTGGCTTTTGTATACACAAAGGTTTACAGTTTTGGTGACAACATCGTCAAATGCTGAACACAAGTATTTCAGCTGGGGGACTTGTCAGGAGAAATTTCAGTATCAACAACAATAAGCCGCAAAGAAACGACCGCCCTAGAGAATCCATAGGTTCCAGAAGCAACAAGCCCGCAAAGCGTGGTTCGTCAATCTCGTCGACAAGAGACAAGCGTTTAACGATTAACGTGAGTGGAATTAAGTTTCAGACTTGGCAGAGCACGCTGATGCGTTTTCCTGATTCTTTACTGGGCAGTGCAGAAGCCATGAAACAGTTCTACGACGAGCAAAGAAAGGAGTATTTCCTCGATCGCGATCCATATCTCTTTAAGTTTGTTTTGAATTATTACCGATTTGGCAAACTACACTTCTCCCAAGAAGACTGTCCCGCTGCGTTCGAAGAAGAATTACAATTTTATGGCTTTTCAATTTACGACGTAAACGATTGTTGTTGGGAATACTGTACCCACAAAGAGAAAGGCCTACTTATTGAAGGCGACAACGATGCCCTTGAGGGGGAGACAATTACCTGCAACGGAAATTTGTGCGCCGTACATTGCGAGCCAAAACTAACTTTGCGGCAGAAAATTTGGCGAACCATTGGCCCTTCAAAGACTACAAAGACCGGCGTAATATTTCACATAATATACGGGTTTTTTATTTTCGTAAGTGTGTTAATAGCGTCTCTCGAAACTTTACGATGTGGTCAAAAAACGTGTGGAGAAGTTTATCACAGTATCTTCTTCACAATAGAATCAGCTTGCGTTATTGTATTTACCGCTGAACTTTTGATTCGCTTCTACGTTTGTCCGATGAAAAAGAAATTTATGCGGGATGCTATGAACATAATTGATACACTAGCCATTCTTCCTTACTACATCACACTGATTGTTACCAGCTTTGGAGTGGAAACAAGCTATATACAAATACTCAAAGTTTTGCGCGTGATTCGGATTCTGAAGTTAACGAGGAATTCGAGAAGACTTCGTTGCCTCTTGTTAACTCTTCGACGCTGCGCAGTAGATATTGTATTTCTCTACTGTATTTGTCTCTTGGCGATTATTTTGTTTGGAACAGCGGTTTATTATGTGGATTTCATGGGAGGAGATCCACAGTTTTCAAGCATTCCGGAATCATTTTGGTATACCTGTGTCACCCTGATGACAGTTGGGTAAGGCTATTGTATCATTAGTGATACTGTTCTTATCATTCTTGCTTGTTATTTTGATATTATTTTAGTACACTTTTGAGTGGGCAAAGATTGAAATAAAAAAAATTAAAAAAAAATTAAAAAAGAAAGAAAGAAAGAAGAGAAGATATAAAAAATAATAAATTACTTCTGATCAGTAGGCTTAAGGGAAAAAGCCGTTTTGTCAGAGACAAGAGTTTGTAAGTAACGCATGAATTTAAGTAACACTATTTTTTGGACTTTTATCATCGACGTGAGAAATGTTGTTTTGGCATGATCTCATAACTTAAAAGCCTTTTACACACAGCTCTAATGGCTAATTTCACCAATTTCACCACCCTTTTAAACACGAAGCAATTATAAAATTAGTAATTTATCTAAGCTTGTGCCATATTCACCTCTGCAATAAGGATTGCTATGAAAAACATTTTTTGATAAAGAATACCGAAAGGCGAAGAACACCATGGGCCTTAAATACAATATTTTAAAACAAACGGTACCGTTGAAAACTAATGCGAGGTTTCATTTCAATGGTCGCACCGGACGATTTCCATCAAATACGGAAACCTGGAATCACCTTGTGTAGATATATGATTTAGCAACAGAACGGGAATGTCATTTGACGACGGGAAAGCGCGCGGAAAGGACTAAACTCGACTTCCGGTGCCCAATTTGCCGCTCTGCCATTGGTCAAGCCAGTTGTTTGATTTGCGAGCGCCGTCGTCAACTGACGTTCTCGCTCTGTTGCTAAATCAGGCTATTAATAAACGGCACCACAGGGAAGCGTTGTTCGGTAGCTATTGTTTGCATGGCCACACCATGGGATTTCATCCACAGCTTGCACTGTATGACTGCTTATTAGTTTTCATTTGAATCGACCATAGACTCAATAGTAAGAACTACCTGGTGCTGTATAATAAGCAAACCAAAGGAAACTACTGCTCAGTGTCATTTCACCTTAGGGATTGTGATGACACGCACTTTTGCGAATCACAGACCTACAAATTACTTAACATTCATTTCTATTAAAAATTTAATTATCATAAACATTTTAACTAAAGAAATGTCATACCGATGTCAATCAAGCCTTTTGCAATCCAAATTCAACTATTTGGGGGTTTTATGTATTTCGTCATTGCATTTCGTATATCCTCATTGCATTTTTCCTGGGAAGCTCAGTACATTAATTTACATTAGTATAATAATTTATCTTGTAAGGTGCCCTAGATGGCCTCTACCAATAAAATAGACAAAAATCGATCAACACCAAGCGGTCACTTAAGCCGAACCTTTTTCAGCCTGTACAAACGATTCATTAAAGCATGGATTGTTCTTTTTCTTTGCTACACGTAAGTGGGTTCTAAAGATAACAGAGAAAAAATAGAGAATAATCAACATTCGGTTTTGATGTGGAAAAAGTTCCCTATTCAAAGTTTTTCTCCATTCTCTCCTCTGCAATTCCATTAAGCTGACAGAGGAAAACTATTAACATTAAAAAGCTCGGTCATCTCAGCTATCGCCGGACGACGGCGGCCTGTGTGCTTCATAGGATGAGAATGTTCGACAGTAGGTTTCTATATAAACGCATGCACTAGGGTTAAGAAAAAGCAAGCTCGAACAGATTTGTATTGAAAGCTGGAATTCTGCAAAGCAAAAATATCGTGACAGAGCTTGACAGGTTTTTCCTAACCAAACTTAATAGCACGTCCAGGGGACCAAATTCAGCACCCATAGAAAAGCCCAACGGATGGACGTTCCTTCAAGAAAATAAGGTAGCTTGCAAGGCAAAAGTGAAAGAAAAGGACGAAGGACAGGGAACATGGTGACAGCTCCGCGTAAACGAACTTTGTTATTCATAATCGAGGCACTGCGGGCATTCACTGTTAGGTGTGAACAAGAGCCTCTTGGTGTGAATGAGCCCATATCTCTTCTCTGCTTTCAGAGAAACTGGTCTATTCGCCTCGAAGACAGCCTAGGAGAAGAACGAGAGGTGACTCTTTGTTCGAGTGAAACCGCTTACTAGTGAAGCCTGTAAGGAAAACCTTGGGCTGCAAACACCAAAAGTTAATCTATATCTGTAACCAGGAAACTTGAATTCCTTGGAAAAATCCAGGTAATAGGGAATGCAGAATTGACTGGCACAATTACTTCAGCTCTGTTCCAAAGTTAAGAAAGTCTTGTTTACCTGTGATACCCGAGTCATCGATGAGAGAACAATACAATTCACTGTCCCAGTCGTGAGTAAGTCAGTTCTGCTAAAATAGAAACCATGCNGGCCTGTGTGCTTCATAGGATGAGAATGTTCGACAGTAGGTTTCTATATAAACGCATGCACTAGGGTTAAGAAAAAGCAAGCTCGAACAGATTTGTATTGAAAGCTGGAATTCTGCAAAGCAAAAATATCGTGACAGAGCTTGACAGGTTTTTCCTAACCAAACTTAATAGCACGTCCAGGGGACCAAATTCAGCACCCATAGAAAAGCCCAACGGATGGACGTTCCTTCAAGAAAATAAGGTAGCTTGCAAGGCAAAAGTGAAAGAAAAGGACGAAGGACAGGGAACATGGTGACAGCTCCGCGTAAACGAACTTTGTTATTCATAATCGAGGCACTGCGGGCATTCACTGTTAGGTGTGAACAAGAGCCTCTTGGTGTGAATGAGCCCATATCTCTTCTCTGCTTTCAGAGAAACTGGTCTATTCGCCTCGAAGACAGCCTAGGAGAAGAACGAGAGGTGACTCTTTGTTCGAGTGAAACCGCTTACTAGTGAAGCCTGTAAGGAAAACCTTGGGCTGCAAACACCAAAAGTTAATCTATATCTGTAACCAGGAAACTTGAATTCCTTGGAAAAATCCAGGTAATAGGGAATGCAGAATTGACTGGCACAATTACTTCAGCTCTGTTCCAAAGTTAAGAAAGTCTTGTTTACCTGTGATACCCGAGTCATCGATGAGAGAACAATACAATTCACTGTCCCAGTCGTGAGTAAGTCAGTTCTGCTAAAATAGAAACCATGCATGGAGGAGCCACGGGAGAAGTTGGCTGACAAATGATGCGTCAACATGAAACCGTTTTGCAGAGAACTTAGAATTTACGTTAATATCGGTTATATCCAAAATGCCGAACAAACCTATATAAGATAACGTCAGTGAAAAAGGGAACACCAGAATAAGAGTCGATAGGAATGCTTCCTTATAGCGGTAAAACCTGGATCACTAACAGACAAGGAGCAAGTCTACGAATCTTCCAGCAGAGGATCCCACACACTATCATGGTTTCAGCTGGGAAGGACAGAGTTACAAGCAGTGAAGAGTCTCGAACGTTCAAAGACCAAAAGCCTAATTTGCCATTCTCAGAGAAGACCGCCAACAAGGGTTAAAAGCCATTTCTCAAAGCATCCTGTGTGCGCTGGATCATTTGGCCTGAGGTATCAAAGCAAAGTCGTATTCCTGCAACAGGAAAACTATCAACACGTCTAGAAGTTAATAGGGAAGCCGCTGCTGTCAACTTGTCGCACAGCGAAGCGTATTGAGGGCGGATAACAAGATAAATAGAAACATGGCTGCAATGTGCCAAAAGAAGGAAGCCTTGTCATGCATCTTCAGCATTGGTTTTCCTCCCTTTTCAACGCGTATTTCGAAAAACTTTGACATTTACTCATGAGCCTTGACATCCACTGGCGAAAGTGACTCATTGGAGAAATCACTCAAGTATCACTTTATCATTGACAAACTGTTAACAGAAATGTTACCATGGTGAAATTTACTTACGCCAATTGCTCATCTCCCATAAAGCACCTTATTTGCCGCCTCCCCCCTCCCCCCCACAAATTGGTATAAGCATTGTTTGCAATTTCTCTTGGGACGGTCGTAATACCCAAGAGAAATGAAAAACAAAGGTTATGCAAAATTTTGGGGGGCAAATAAGGTGCATTATGGGAGATGTGCAAGTGGCGTATCTTTACACCACCAGCAACAGACTCAGTGAAGCGAATCCAACGATGGTGAAGACAAAGTCGAGTCACATTGCTTCGATGTACGACGACCTATACCACAAGTTTTTTTTTACTTCGTTGAAATTCGTAAATCCGTGGCTCTTTCGTCACCTCCTCCAAGGGAAGATAAGTCAACTTCCTATTAGTGTACTGACCTTGGGAAAAAAACATTATCTCTAAGGTATCTGCCAGGTTTTTTTAATAACTGGCCTGCTGGAGACCGGTGTTATGCAGGGAAACTATCTGAGTCCATCTTGTGACACCTCTAGGTCGTATATACTTTCGGTAATACTCGGTATAGATGGGAAAAAAAAGCAAAGTTATTAGGGCAAGCCGAGTTAGGAAAAGTGGGTCTTTGCAAGAAAAACAAACACTCTTTACAAGAAGAAAAAAAAAACACATGGACACTAACTTTGCAAATTTCTTCATTTTGCAGTTACGGTGATGTTGTTCCCTCGTCGGTCCTTGGAAAGTTTGTGGGGTCAGTATGTTGTGTCTCCGGTGTAGTCCTCCTCGCGCTCCCAATTCCCATACTTCAAGAAAAGCAAGTCCCTTGCACGCTGGAATCTGTGACATCACGAAAACGACGGAGTCCACACAAGGCTGTTACAGAGTGCGCAGAATGCATAGGGGAAAAGGAATGTCTTTTGACCCAAACCAGTGGCAAAAATCAAGACCTGGAAAACGGGTTTGCAACGAGAGAATAATAAGCATGTATGATGGTACAACAGCAACAGCAACTTTATTAACAACAAAGAAACATGCCTTCAGAGGTTAAAACACTCGACTTTGTGTAAAAACCTGTTTCAAAGCAATAGTGTCATCGTTGATAACGTGTACTTTGGCTAGGACCTCATCTATTGGTGAAAAATATAACATTGATTCCTTAAACGCTTATTGACGCTTATTAATATCATCATATACCAGGTACTTGTTGGCCCTGGGAGGTGGATATTGTTTGAAACTCTTACCCTTACCCAGTTCTTGTTCAGCCTATTTTTGGAATTCTGTCCGTGGCTAGATACTGTTCTATGATACGTGTAGTAGTACAATTATTTCCAGTGGGCAAGACAAGTATTTCAGTGACTCGAGTGCAAATCAAATTAAATCAGGTCCCTTTATTTTCTTCAGAACTTTTTAATAACCTACCTGACAATGTTAAAATAATTCCAAACTACAATTTATTTTCCTCAGCCGTCAAAGATATTTTAAAGAAGCGTTACAGTGACTTTTTATTCATACATACTATGCTATGTCAATATGTTTTTTAATCATTCGATCTTCTCATCTACTGTTTTTGTACATTTTTTTCTTTTCTCTGCTAGATAGTTTAGGTAGTTTCAATAGAAGAAGAGCCACCTTGTGGATCCTATTGAACAAAGCCATTATTATTTATTTATTTATTTATCCATGGCTTAATTATCATTTAGTGAAGTACATCAGTACATATTCGATATCCAATATCAAACGCAAGAATTTAATATCTAAACCATGGATAAATAAGATTGATTTATAAATTGACAAACTGCTTTACCCGAGAGCCTAAATGTTTAGCCTTAATGATAAAACTAATAAACCTAGTAGTCCGAAGTGCTTCCATTTTCTCTTATTAGAATAGTTGATATATAAACGCCGCGACTCTAGTTGCTGAATTTAGTGACTCGGAGATCTAGACACTTCTCCTGCTTACATGGAATGTTTTGTAACTTGGCCAAAACCTCTGGCGTCCTGTAATGTTAGGACTGGGAGATGATCTCTCTTCATTCCAACCTTTTCGTTAACACTGTCACTGGCTCAAGTTTGGGACTAGCTTGATTTTGGGGTAAGTGCCATTGTCCCCTGTCCTTTTCCTTCATAAACGTAACCATACCTCTTCCATAGTCATACGTTGCCGACTTCCGGAGCCCAAAGAAAGCTGTTATAATTAGTGACGTTCTTATATAGAAGAGAGATCCTTGGCCTCAAGCCTGAGGGTTAGTCCTCATCAAAATGTTTGACGCATCCCACCCAAGACGAACTGCCTTATTTATTCCACGTGACTTCGTTTAGCCCCCTCTTTGCCCCGATGAGGACCCAGGGTGATTTCCATTTTGCCAAACCAAACAGGCACATACCAGTGGAAGAATCAACAGAAAACGAACAACATTGTTCGATTGAAACAAACTTTCCAATCGAATCGAAGCGATCCATTTGCGTTTCGACCGAAATTTTGATTACTACTTAGCAAAGAGGGATTTTTTTGGAAATGGAACGGCAAGTTAAGGTCAGACTGGACTGACCAGTCAAAGCCAAGCACCAATCCTGGAGGTGAACCACTTTGACCGGAAAATTTCCAAACTGAACGAATCGTTCCATTTATTAATTTCTCGACCAAAATTTCCGGGACATTTTTGCTTTTAGGAACCGAGATCCGGGAGATTTTTGCTATAGTGGAATCCTAAATCCTGGGCTTTGGAATCCGGAATTCAGCTCAAGGAATTTTGGCAGAATGGAAAGCTACCCCAGATTTTCTTGCCTTCTTTCATATCTGCTGTTTCCTCTTTATGCCGGTACATTCCACTCTTTTTACAGATGCAGCTAATTAGATCTTTTAGGAACGTTCGGCTGACTACAATGGCCTACTCGTCGTGTACCTGCTGAAGGTGAAGTAATAAAATTGCGGCGTTCGTAATACTCCTTCTTCTATTCAAAGCTAACCGGTTTTCCCTTTTTCTTGTCCTTCAATCAAACTACGAAGCAGGAATGCAACTTCACCAATAGCAGTTAAGACTGATCTAAAAAAGATCTTGGCAGTGATGGCTTGAACGTAGAAAATTACATAATTACGATGTCACTATACCGCGTCTGATGTTGAAGAGCCTGCACCTTCCACCACACTATCTTTTTGTCCCGACAGATTTATAATCATTTTTCATTTCTGAATAGAAAAAAAATTACAACTTTGGACCGCATTCCACGGTCTTCATTCAGCAAATGTCTGACTTTTTTGGCGTGAATTTTTCAAATCTACCAATATAGAGCCTAGTAGAAAGACAGTGGGTCCCTTTTGTGAATATCTGAATGATAAGTTTCAGGGGAATTACGACGAATTCCAGCATCCCCCCCCCCCCCCAAAAAAAAAATTCAGCTGAAAATTTTGCATAAGCATTGTTTCCAATTTCTCTTGGGACGGCTGTAATACCTAGGAGAAATGAAAAACAAAGGTTACGCAAATAAGGTGCATTATGGGAGATGTGCGGCGTATCCTTAAACCACCAGCAACACATTCAAATAGTTTACATGTATGACCTTGATACTGGATCAGTGAAGCGAATCCGAGGATGCTGAGGACGAAGTCAAGTCACATTACTTCGATGTACGACGACCTATACCACACGTGTTTTTTTATTTCGCTGAAATAAAAAATCCGTGGCTCTTTTGTCACCTCCGACCAAAGGAAGATAAGTCAACTTCCTTTTTGTGTACTGAGCTTAGAAAAAAACCATTATCTACAAGATATTCGCCAGGTTTTTTTTTATCTGAGTCCATCTTGTGACACCTCTATGTCGTATATACACTCGGTAATACTCGGTATAGATGGAAAAAAGGTTATTAGGGCAAGCCGAGTTAGGACAAGTGTCACTTGTCTTTACAACAACAAAAAAAAGAAACACTTGGAAACTAACTTTGCAAATTTTTTTCATTTTGCAGTTACGGTGACGTTGTTCCCTCGTCGGTCCTTGGAAAGTTTGTGGGGTCAGTATGTTGTGTCTCCGGTGTAGTCCTCCTCGCGCTACCAATTCCCATACTTCAAGAAAAGCAAGTCCCTTGCACGCTGGAATCTGTGACATCACGAAAACGACGGAGTCCAAACAAGGCTGTTACAGAGTGCGCAGAATGCATAGGGGAAAAGGAATGTCTTTTGACCCAAACCAATGGCAAAAATCAAGACCTGGAAAACGGGTTTGCAACGAGAGAATAATAAGCATGTGTGATGGTATAACAGCAATAGCAACTTTATTAACAACAAAGAAACATGCCTTCAGAGGTTAAAACACTCGACTTTGTGTAAAAACCTGTTTCAAAGCAATAGTGTCATCGTTGATAACGTGTACTTTGGCTAGGACCTCATCTATTGGTGAAAAATATAATATTGATTCCTTAAACGCTTATTGACGCTTATTAATATCATCATATACCAGGTACTTATTGGCCCTGGGAGGTGGATATTGTTTGAAACTCTTACCCTTACCCAGTTCTTGTTCAGCTTATTGGAACTCTGTCCGTGGCTAGATACTGTTCTATGATACGTGTAGTAGCACAATTATTTCCAGTGGGCAAGACAAGTATTCCAGTGACTCGAGTTCAAATCAAATTAAACAGGTCCCTTTATTTTCTTCAGAACTTTTTAATAACCTACCTGACAATGTTAAAATAATTCCAAACTACAATTTATTTTCCTCAGCCGTCAAAGATATTTTAAAGAAGCGTTACAGTGACTTTTTATTCATACATACTATGCCATGTCAATATGTTTTTTAATCTTTTGATCTTCTCATCTACTGTTTTTGTACATTTTTTCTTTTCTCTGCTAGATAGTTTAGGTAGTTTCAAGTAATATATCAAACATGAGATGCAGTGTTTCATCACCAGATGAAACACCGAGAAGAGAGTTGAAAATACGACGCGCAGCGGAGTATTTTTGACGAACTTCGAGGTGTTTCATCTGGTGATGAAACACTGTGTCGAATGTTTGATATTTCTTCTCAAACAAAATCATTTTTGAAGGAGAAATTAAGGATGCAAATACTAA